TGTTATCCTTTTTCTCTAAAGAATTACCAAAAAAGGAAATTTTTAGAAAAATAGTGGATCAGCGGAAAGAGTTTTTTGATTTCTAGAAATATTTTATGTTGTTTCTTTATAATATATGATAATAATATATTATAGTGATTTTTTTTTCTTTCAGAACTTTTTTGTTATTGATAGAAAAGATATTTCTTGATTTTTTATTATTAAAAATCAAGTTTTTGTTTGAAGAGAAGTATTAATAAGAGAAAGGAAAGTAAGAATAATCCTTGAAAATTTTTTTAAGTTAATATAAGAAAATTAATAAAACTTTATTAACATAAAAATCTAAAACTTTTTGTGAACATCTTTTTTATATATGATTAGAGAATCAGTAAAAAGAATTGTATTACAGTATATTTTAAGTATATAATTTAATAGTTTTTAAAGCTCAAAATTTTATTTATATAATAACTTAAATAGTATTTATATTAAATAAATCTATAAAAAAAACTTTTTTTATTAATTCTTTAATTATATATAAAAAATATTTACAAAAGTATATATATTTATTTATTAATAAAGTTTTTGTACTTTTATTTAAAAAACTTGAAGTATATTTTTAAAAGTTATTTTTATTCTTCTCTAATTATTTATAAACTTTTTTACTCAAAAAATTGACTTTTGGTAATTAAGAAAGGTCAAGTAATACCTTTAATACTAATAGTAAGAAAGTTTACAAAAGAAAAAAAAAACTAATTATAAATTATCAAAAGATTTTTCTAATCTTTTAAATAAAATATTTATAGAAATTTTGCAATAAAAAGATTTATTTATTTTTTTTTATTGATTTAATTTTTTTAAAGTTTTTACTTTGATGGTTTTTTGAAAATTCTTGCTTATTTCAGTTTGATTTTGAATTTTAAGTAGTATAAATCCTTATTAAAGATATTTAAATAATATAAAACATATTAGTTTTTAAAATATAAACAAGCTTTTATTAATTATACTCATATGTTTTAATAATATTATTAGCAATTGAAAAGAATATTTCATAAATATTTATTTTTAAAAGTTCAAATCCTTAATAAAAATATTTATAATATTCAAAAATTAAAAGGAGTGTAATATGATTACAAATTTTTATTCTTTATTTAAATTATTTAAATAATGATAAAGCTTTAATAGATAAAAAATTAAGATATAAATATTTTATTTGAAATATCATAATTTGATGTTTACTTAAATAAAGAATTAATTAAATTGATTTGTTTAATATTGCAAGAGATAACAAAAAAGATTTTTTTTGAGGTTCAAGTAAAGCAAGAAAATTATTTCAACCAAATAGATTTTTTTTGAAAAGAGATTGTTTTTATTTTTGAACTTTTTTTGATAAATTTTAAATTGTTTTCTTCCTTTATTTTATTATTTTCTTTTCTTTTTTAATTTTATCAATTAATGATTTCTTAAATCAATTAATAGTGCCAAATTGTTTATGATAATTTTAGTATATATAAAGATATTGTAAATTCAATCTAATTAGAAAAGTATAATATTGGTTTTAAAATTAAATTTAAAGTACTTTTATATAAAGATAAATTAATAGTTTTGTAAAAAATCTTTAATTATATTAGATTTTTAATCAATTTTAAAATAAAAATATGCCATTACAGCATAATTGCAGATTAAAAAAAAAATTTTTTTTTTTAAATTAAATAAATCTGTAAAATAATATAATAATAATGCTTTTAGATTATGAATTAAGAGATTTCAAGTTTAATACTATATTGAGAGCAACTATATATTATTTTTTCTAATCAAATTTATTGAATTCTCATACTTAAATATTTGCAGATTATTTAAGTTGTATAAAGATGAAACTTGACTTTCCATCAAATATAGATCATGTAACTGAAAAGATTATAGAAAGAAAATTTTTGGTTTACCTATTCAACTTTTTCCTTAACTTATGGTCACTATTATATCTAATTCGAATATAGAGTTGAAAAAACCATATTAAACAGCAAAGTTTTTATCTATTTTAGAAAGATTAAATATAGACCGAAACTGGTTTATCTCGATGATTCTATAAAGTAATTCTAGTTTGAGACTTAATATAAATAAGGTTTGAAATGAATGACTTTTTATTACCTACTAGATACAAATTCAATTAGAAAGATTTTAGCATCAACTTTTGTCTTATCGAGTTAACGCCAAAGTATATTCTGCTTAAAACATTAATATAAATCCTTGTTAGCTTGAATTTTATATAAAATTGACCGGAGTTAATTTCCGGGATGATTGTCAAATAAAATTTATTTAACAATAACAATCTTTCAAATATACAAAAAAAGAAATTAGGTTTACTGATATTAAGCTACAGGTATAATTTTCGTCACACAAGAACGAGAAACTCCGTAAACACGCCAATTTCCAATGTCTAGCTTTTATATGCAACCTCAGCCATACTCATTATGTTATTGACATTTACGATTCTGTGTTACACGCAATTAAAATTTTTTGATCACAAAAACTGCATGCGCTCCGGGTTACAGATTTTTTTGATTTGCAAATTCTACATCCAGGAATTGTTTTGACACATCAGAATAGTTGTGTTCTTTCATATATATATTGTATCTATGCACGAATCACTTGCACAAGGCAAACAAAGTAATCTCATTTTTATATGGGACATTTTTTGATAACCCGTTCTTCTAAGGGACAATTTTCTTGTTCTCTTACCGACTAAAAAAAAAAAAATTATATATATTTTGTCTCATTCACATAAAGTTCTATGAATTCTTTTTTTTTATTCCTTTTGCCGTTTCATACATAGGTAAGATATCTTTAATCTTTTCTTTTTAGTCTTTCAAAATTTCTTTCAAGACTTGAACTTATGTGTTTTATAGTGCAGGATTTCCGTCTTAATCAACCATTATTAACTGTTTTGCACAGAAAGAATAATTTTTGAATTGATAGTTTCATCTAACGCGAATATATATTTTTGGTGAGCACTTATTGTGAAAGAATTTGCAGTACTTCTTTAGATAATGTCTTGACACAATTTTCACGTAATCAGGAATTTTAAATATGTCCGAAGTACCTATACAAAAAATCGATCCCCCACTTATGTTAGCTTCTGAGGGTAATAAGAACCAACAAATGACTTCAGTCTCCAATCCTCAAGGCATGTCCAACATGCCAACAAGTCCTCCTCCACCCTATCCTCAACAATCATTTGCCTCAATGCCACCAACTCAAGCGCAACCCCAATACGTACAACAACCACAGCAACCACAGTACCAACAACAACCACAGCAACCACAGTACCAACAGCAACAACCACAGCAAGTTCAGTACCAGCAACAACCACAGCAAGTACAGTACCAGCAACAACCACAGTACCAACAACAACCACAGTACCAACAACAACAACAGTATCAACAACAACCTATTGCCCAAATGCAGACGCAACAGGCCCAAGTTGTTACTGAAACTCGTGAGGTCTACGCGGAGCCAGTTCAGCCAGCTCAGCCTAATGTGGTTTACGTAGATAATCCACAACCACAACCGCAAATTACAGTTATGCAGACCACCTCTCAAATCGTATCTATCACCAGTCCACACCCGACAAGAGTGAATTGTCCAAATTGTGGGAACCTGGTCACCACGAATGTCACCGAAACTCCCGGCACAACAACCTATATGCTTAGTGCTATTCTGTGCATTGTAGGGTGCCTGCCTATTGCATGGCTACCCTGGGTCATGTCAGGATGCTTGGATAAAGTTCATTCTTGTCCGGTTTGTGGGCATGTTTTAGCTACCGTTAAGGCGTGACAATGGTTCAACGTTGCAATAGGTTGTTTTCTTCAGCAGCAAATCATTCATTTAATTTTTATATAAAAATAATTAGCAGACATAAAGTGTAATTATTTCTATCGAAGTTAGACATTTAATATTACTGAAATTTTATCACTTTGTATTTTAAAAAATCTTTAAAATTTCGGAAATTAATGAAGCATTCCTTATTTGTTAATCCAAAAATGTAAAACCTTTTAGTACTTCTATGGTAAAAATACTGTACGTCTATCTATTGTCAAAAATAGCATATTTTGTTCCCGCTCTTCAGCTTAAGACGCGAAAGCTTGGTCTTTAATGCACGCGCGTACTAAGAACTCTTTTAAGAATTGATTGCATGAATTGTACCGTATCAAGTTTAAAGTTTGTCCTTGATAACTGCATTCCTGTTTGTTGCTTGTTTATTATTTAATATAACGAAGTTGAAGTGCAGAATGGGACAATAGAAGTAGTCTAAAGATGTAATTATTTATTATTAAATAAAATATTACCAAAAAAAAAAAATTTTTTTTAAATAAAATAAACAAAGTTATTCGATTTCTACTAGATTATTTTTCCAATTACATTATAATTTACGTAAAAAAATTTTTTATATTATTAAAGAGAAATATTTTGGGGGGTTTACTAATGATTATTCAAAATACAAACGTGGCTCAAAGACAAATAAATAACAGTTACAAACATGGCATGGAACTTTAAGGTTAATAAAAAATGAAAAATAGTTGAAGCATCAAAAAACATAAATGCATAAAAATTGAATATGCCTTGTAATTTTTTTTTTTAAAAAAAAGGAACCACAAGAAAAAAAAAAGAAAAGTTAGACAGCCAAATTCAAATCTTTTCGATAAAAATCAACTTATTCAAACTATTTCATTCCAAAATCTTATTATTTTTAAAACAAAACTCTTTATTTTATTTCTTGTTTGTTCAATTAATCTCACTTTTACTTTAAATTATTATATAATTAAATTTCTTGATTTTAAAGCTTTTATTTAAATAAATAAATAACTATACTTTAAAAATTTATTCGACTATGCTGTATTTTTAATGATATAAAAAAAAATATTTTTTTTTTATAACCAGACAATGTATATTTTATTGCACAATATATAATAATATTTGATAATTTGACAAATTTTTACATAATAACAAACTTACCACAAGTATAGATTTTAAAAAATATAAAGAAATTCCCTAAATTATCTTTAAGTTCAATCTAGTAATTTGCAAAAAATATTTTAACTATAAAAATCATTGATAGTAAATTATTAAATTGATTATTCATTGACTATTAAATTGTAAATTTAAGTTACATAAAAAAAAAAAAAAGAACCAAATTAATTTAGAATTTCTCTAAAAAATTTATTATTGAATTATTAAAATCTTTTCTTTAAAAGTAAAACGATTTATACAAACTATTTTTTTATTAACTATTTGATAAATTATTTATTAAATTTATCATCTTAAATTTTTCAAATAAAAATTTTATTTTATATTTTTATTAATAAGACATAAACTTATTGCTTGATTAAATAATATTATCAATAATTACTTGATTTTTCTTAATTAAAAAAAAAAAAAAGAATTTGATTTGTTTAAAATATTATATTTAAATTATTAAAAAATTTTATATATTTATTTTATTTTATAATTATAATCTAATTTAAATATATATCATTATAAAAAAAAGTATTATTGATTTTATTATTATTATTATTATTATTATTTTGAACTCTTTATTAGGTTAGATATATATGTTTTATTAAATGTTTATATATTATATATTGAAAAATATATCATTAAAACTAAATTTCTATCCATTCTACTTATTTCTATTTTAAAATTTATTAAAACTTTAAATGCAATTTCAAGAGGGATTTATTTTTTTATAACTAATAATACTATTAAAATATAAAATATAATTGATAAAAATTTATTTATATTTATAAAAATAATATATATATATATATATAAAACTCTTTCTAAAAAACTTTTTCCACTGATCCTCTGACCACACACAAAAAGGATGTTTGCAAGAAGTTTTTATACTTCCTTACTAATAAAGTCTTAATACTTTCTTTAAAACAATTTGAAGTATAACTTCAAGAATTACATTTATCTCTACCCTATTGTTTACAAACCTCTTCACTCAAAAACTTGACTCCTATTGACCAAGAAAAGT